TGCAGGGCGAGTTCGCCCTCCGGGACTTCAGACTCACTCAACTCTATTTTTGCACCTTGTCTTGATGTCTGTTTTCTTTCCCTCTCACTTATCTCACTTTCCGTTTGCCCTGTCTCATCTTTTGCAGTTACCCAGGTAAATGTAGGTAATTTAAACTTTGGCAGTCTGAATTTGCTTTCTTTTTCCTCTATATCTTTTCCTTCTGTCTTCATGCCAATGTCCATTTTCAAGGATTTAGCACTTGTGGGCATGCCATCTTCATCTTTCTGTGCCTTTTTTACAGCATCTGTGGTTTCATCTGCGCTTTCTTCTGTTGACATTTTCTTGTTAGCTTTAGGTGTTTTTGCCATTTTGAATGATGGCATTTGTATTTTCCAAGTAGATACTTCTGATTCTGCCTCAGACACATGAGGTTTCACATCCAAAATCCTGTTGTCCTCTGAACTTATGTCAGCTGTTGTTTCTGGTACTGAATGTGGAATATTGCTTCCCAGTTTTGTGTTTTCAATCTTTGACTCTTTGCTTTTAGGCTTTGAAACCCCAAATTTTGTTTCCTGTATTGTCAGTATGTGTGTGTCTTCTGCTTTTTTTTGTCCTGTTTCCAATGTGTCAGTTGTTGTGCGTAATTCTGCTTTAGCAGTCCCTATTTCGAGACCTTTTACCTGTATAGATCCTTGTGCAGTGTTTTCCATCATGTCTATGTTAATTCCACTTTCTCCTTCTGTTTTATCTCTTGTTGCTTTCTGTTTCTTTTTTCGGGATTTTGATAATGCTTGTGGTGATTGTTTAGTTGGACTTTCTTTCAGATCAGGTGTTTCTAAACCAGGCTTTGATATCTTTGTTGTTATAGCTGGTATTTCAGGTACGGTAAATTTTGATGTTGAGTCCTTGTCTTGATCTTTTCTAATGCTGATTTCAACTTCAGGGCATTTTTTTGAATGAGATGGAATGCCATTTTTCATATCTTTTAAGTCTTTTGTTAAAGTTTCACATACCTCCCCTTTTTTTATTTCATAAGCAGGAGATGTGGTATATTCAACATTTAGTATTTCAGGATTTTCCAGGCTGATGTCTTCTTTATGTATTTTTTCTCTTTCAGATAACAGTGTCGTTTTTACTTCTTTTTTTTGCTTGTCTTGTGCTTCTGCTTTGGATCTGTGCATTTTGAATCCAATGCTAGGGAACTTCAGTTTCTTTTGGCTTCCTTTTTTTTCTTTGATATGGACTTCTTGTTGAAATTGAGACTCTGTGTCTGTGCTTGTGGGGGAAATATCCTGTATAGCAGGCTCATACGCATCTGACGTACTGTGAGATCTTCTGTGTCCCAGTATCTTTTTATTTTTAATTGTCTGGAATTTTGGCCATGATAATCTGTCTTTTTTAGGTCTCTTGCTTCTTCCAACCCTTTGGCTTACAATTAATGTTTCCCTGTCTTCTTCAGAAATGGCTTTTCCTGAAACATGCAGTGTTTCTTCGGGAATGCTCTCACTGAGTTCTTTTTCCTGAAAGAACAAATAGTAGGCAGAAGATTAAAAGTAAACTAAATATAGATGCAACACAAAATAAAATACATAATATACAAAATAAAATACATAATAGAAAATATGTAGAAAAATGCCCCTTTTATTCACACTATCTATGTGTTATACAAAAAACTCCTGAAAACGGTGTATATAATTCAGGCAGAAACTGCATAAAACAAATGCATTATATGACTGCAATATGTGGATTTCTGAAGGTTTATGTTCTTTGCAAAACATTGCAATAAATAGAGGTTTCTATATGTATCTCTATATATATGTCTGTACAAATATGTACATAATATTTATGTATAGGTATACAAAGAGAAAAATAATGTTGAATGTGATGGAGACCTATGAGCAGATCATGTCTATGGAGTTATCAGTGATTAAACACACATTTTTAAGAGAAAATTTAATTGGTGAGCTTTTGAGAAAAATACTTATCGATATTTTACATTTTGGAAAATGCTGAATATAAACATCACAGATCTTATCTGAGCCTGTCCTATCTGTGGACACTTAACAACTAAAACATACTGACTCACTAGAGAACTATGCTCTTCTACCCTAACTCAAGGCTGTGGCTTTGTCAAAAATCTATAGTCTTCCCCAGGATATTTATAAAGCTGCAAATATTGTTTGAGATTTTTTTCTTCTAATGAATATTCATGCTAGTAAGTTTACACACATGCCTAAGTCTTAAGAAGACATAATTGTGTATTTTCTGGTCTCTTTCCACACAGCACATTACTACGGTGTTATCCAAATTTTTTAAACTAATCAAATAACTACCTGGCTTAATCTTTCCTTTTTGTACTGGGCTGTAGAGTGCATGTGTTCTAGCTCTTCCTTCCCAGCAATTTTTCTTTTGAGGCTGAATTGGACTCTGTACGGCTCGGAATATTGGAGAATCTTGAGTGCATCTTCATATTTGATATTATCAAAAAATATTGTAGCACTTAGAAGCTGATCACCTGCAAGTGGAGTCAGACATAATTTTAATTCGTGTTTTCTTGCAGTTTTTTAGATTCTATTGAAATAATGATCATTTAAAAAAAATTATCACATTCCATTTATTTAAAATACAAAATTATGTTCACATAATAAAGACACAGAATAGTTAAGGCTACAAAGGACCTCTGGAGATCTGGGAAGGGTCAGGTCTACATGCAGTCAGGTGTTGAATATTTCCGAGGATGTTGACTCCACAACCTCTCTGGAAAACCTGTTCCACTGTCTGACCACCCTGACAGTAACAATGTTTTTTCTTAGATTTTTCAGTATTTAGACTGTAGACTTTTGTTCTTGTTTAAATCATCATTTATAGTAGTTTTGTAGCATAGTTTTGTGAAAGAATAAAAGGCAAGTTCTTCATGAATGTGATGAGTTGGGTTTTTTTACATTTCAGTAGTGTATACGATGCTGTCTATGTATCTTTTTCGCTGTTCCAGTGAAAATTATATATTTTTTATGGTATACAAAAAAAATCACATTTCATTATTGTTTAAGAAACTGATCCCTGAAATTATTAATATGGAAAGATGAATCTCGCATATAGTATTGGTTGGTTTGGGATCTACTATTTATCTTACCTAAAGAGATGACAGATCAGGTAGGTATCTATACGCACACACAGCTACATTCCTGATTATATGAAGATATTTTAAAAAACAAAAAACAACTGAAAATCAGACTGTACCTTCTCTCAGACTAAATATTTTTGAAGCAGGAGATTCCTTAAGTACTTTTTTAATAAATATTCCTTCATTTCCTCCACCTGTCACACTAAAACCACTAGCACCAGCTTCCACTTCTGTTTTCAGGGTCACTTCCATTGTCTCCTAGAAATAGAAAAAGATGTGAATTTATAATTGTTATCCATTCCTATCAAAGTGTTCTACACTATTCAACAATAAAAAATGGAGTGTCCTCACATATATTTTCAGTAGCTCCAGACAAATTATCTAAAATAGAGAATGTACTTGTTCAGAGTGGGTTTGATTCTGTTCTATATAAGAATTAAGCACGTGTGTTAGGGTTATGATGGATTGGGGCCATAGGGATAATAGGTTGAAATTTCAGAACATAAAACTTATGGAATCTTTTGGGCTGAAAGACTGTATTTTCTGTGAAGATGTCAAGCACCTGAACTAGAGTCAATGGGCCAGAAAAGTCAGACGAAGAGCTTATGCTGTACTGTACTCAAACCAGAGAAGTCTAAAGAATGCTAGAAAGAATTATGGAATGACCCCAAACAGGATACGTAAGTGTTCATGCCTGCACCACAACTAAGGAATTTGTGAAGTTCCTGGTCAAAACAGTTCTAAAGTGACTCTTTGCCTATTTGTCCTTCCCCCTGTTCACCTGTCCACACCTGTGTGTTGTAACGGACTTTATTATTTTGCAAACCACATGCCCAAAACTACTGAATGCTTTTTGACTGACCTGTGGGTGACTCTGTTTTGATTTATCTGTAGAATGTTTTTTATTTTCTTCTTGAAGCTGAAAAATAATTTGCAATTTTTTAGTGTTCGGAAGTCGTGCTGTTGTAAAGTACAACAAAAGTCCTACATCAGTTAAAATCCCCGGTTTACACTAATAACTGAGGCTGACGTTAATGGCAACAGAGAAAAATTGGGATCTACACATGCAATGTACAACTTGAATGATTCATCTGTATTATTCCCAGTAGTAAATTAGACGTCAAGACCTCCCTACATTGTACCAAAGTTTGCAAGAAATGAACACCAGAGACCAATTGTATTAAGACATTGGGAGATTTTCTGTGTGTTACTCGTGTAGCACATTTCTTATACTTCCATCTTTGTGAATATACATTTTTTTAATTTATTTGACTTCGACATGAATTTCAAACTGTTGCCTGCTTACCTTAACATGATTGTACAAATCAAATCTTTAACTTTGAATAACCAAGGGGTGCAGTTAATTACTGAATACTTATTAGTTAGATTCACGCCAGTTAAATATTCTGATAGGGAAAGCATTGTGATTTCCTGACACTGTCTGCCTCAGGTCCTTTAAGGAATTAAGTGAAATGCATTTTTTGCCAAGAAACAAGAACATGCCCAACAACAAGTCCAGTACAACATAAAACCATCAGTCAACATGGCCTTGATTTTGGTGGCAACAGAAAGACAATATGGCTGCAACAACATCCTGCTACATGACATATGAGTCTCGGCTAGTTGTAGGAGCTAAAGCCCCTTGAATCAGCTTGGTAAAGCCATGACTGTATGAAAACTCAGTGCCTTGCCTTTAAATATTCTTCCTCTATGGAATATTCATAAACTGGAGAGGATCCTTGTGGCCTTGGACGAATGTCTTCTACTGCCACTTCATTAACCTGTGGAAAAGAAATGAGTGATGGGAAAAGAACACCCACCATTAAACAGTGACCCATATTTTTAGGAGAGTTTTTCTATTTAGGCATAGTTTGCTGTGTACAAATCATTCATTAGTAACGGTGGATGTAGGATAGCAAATAACTTTTTCTTTAGGTCAAGAGTAAATGTGATTTTCATTTAAGAATATTACTCAAGAACACAAGGGACAGACTCCTGAGAGACCAAAACAATAGAATGCTGATTTTGGTTTTCTTTGTGTATTGTATGCACCTATGGGCTGAACAGACTGAAAGTACTGACAGATCAATTAGTAATAACTGAAAAAGGTAATAAAAATTTCCTTCCCTGCTTTATTTGCACACCTAGCATTTGCATCCTGCAGCTTCAGACTTTATTGCCCTCTATAACCAAGCAAACCATGGAAGAGTCCCAGCAGAAATTTCTGCTGACAAGCACTTGGAATGCTCCCTTCTGGAATCAAAAGATAAGGAATCTCCTAAACCAGCTAAAGCTTTAAAGAGCAGTTACTGTAGTCAACAGCCATGTAGTAGTTTGCTAAGTCTTGGTATCAAACTTATACTGGTGGATCATGACAAAGAGCAGATTGCTTTATATTGAAGCATCATTCTGGCTTTTGAGCTGGCAGGAGAATCTCAAGCAGAAAGACAACATTTTTAATGGGAAGAAAAATCACCAGCAAGGTAACTGCCAAACCTCCATCCCAGAAAAACTCAACTCTAAAAAACTCACAGAATCTTCATCCTCTGCATCCGCATCCACATCAGCATCTCCCGGAGGCTCGGATGGTCTCAGCTGTCGTCCGGAACCTGAAAGCAGCAAACAGGTCATTGATGTCCGCAGGAGCCGCACAGAGTACAGAGCAACCAGCTTGCGAGCTGAAGCCCCCTGGAGCAGCATGCCTGGGGCACACACAGGGCTGGCTACAGAAAGGTCTGCTTTCATCCAGACTCCTTACCTCAGGTCTCATCAGGCCGATCTTTCCAAAGATACCAGAAATATTAATACCCAGAAATGCAAATGCCTTTATGAAGGAAAAAATCCCCAGATTGGAGAAAAACGTAGAACTAGAAGTTGGTCAGATTTTGTTTTGATTACCAAGAGAGCTTGAGGTGTGTATTAGGCAGAATTAGCAGGGTTTTGGCAACAGTGTGTCTGTGGGGTGGTCTCTGTGGGAGAAGGTCATGGACCACCCTGTGCCAGATGGAGCTTCTTGCAGCCAGCTCTGCCTGTGAT